ATACACACACACAAAGAAGATGGAAGGAGAAGGAAAAAGAAGAGAGAAAGAAAGGAAGCTATGAGAGAGGAGGAAGACAAGGAAAAGGAGTGGAGATGATGATGATGATGACGACGACGATGATGGTCATCACGACATTAACAGGCTAAAGAGATAGCTCAGAAGTTAAAAGCATTTGCTGCTCTTTTAGAAGACCTAAGCATAGTTCTCAGCATCCTTACCAAACAATTCACAAATGCCTCTAACTCTAGTTCCAGGAGATCTAACACTCTTGTCTGGCCTCTCCATGCAAACGGGTGTCTAGAAAAATATAACCTTAAGAAAATTATATTAAATTCCTAGGTGGTATGCAATTGTGTTGTAGCTATCTAACTGCCTATTTTCTTTAAATCAGATTATTAAAAGTTGGCCCATGATTCATAGAAGCTTGGGAAAGGTAACTCTGAAAGCTATGTTGCTAGTTAATGTGAACCCTGGTCCTATGGTCTCTCCTAAGAGCTACAAAAGTCATTAAGAATAGCAGAGTAAACCAAGAACTCATTCTTAATGCTTATGACAGTATAAGACATTTATAAAAATTCTAAATCTCAGAATATTTTTATTTTTCCTTTTCCGTCAATGTGTCCTAGTGACATGCTAATGGTTCACAGGCTGGTTTCAGTGTTCAGACCGTGGCTGCTTGTCCCCAGGCACAGGGCAGAGAACCACAGTGGCAGGAGTAAATGGAGGTGGTGCATGTTTACCTCACAACAGAACAGGAAGCAGAACAACATGGGCTTTTTCTATATGACTCCAGCTTATAATCAAAACTCCACTTGGAGCTATACTTTATACTGTAAGTCTATTAAACACAAACACTGTCCAAAAATATGAGCTGTAAGAAAATCTTAATAATCTAAATAGCAATGTGTTCCAGTACATTTTCTACCAAAAAGAATTTACAAAGGCTGGTTCTTAATTTTAAAAGTTTAATTTAACTTTTCCTTCTGCACTCCTACAGAAACACAGAAAGAGACTCAACGTACATTTTCATTGAGTTTACTTGCTTCAAGGCGCATCCTGGTTTTCTCCATGTTTTCAATTTCTTGGACAATTTCAGCAGCTATTAAAATGAAAAGGAAGAAAAAAAAAACAATCACACTGTCTGATCATCATTCTATGCCTATGTGAGGTTTTTAACAGTACAGAAAGACAAGTGGTAGATACATGCAGACTCCTGTCTTCATTTCTGCAAATTTTCAAAAGTAAGTGTAGGTGTTTGGAAGAGAATGGCCTCCATAGGTTCATAAATTTGAATGCTAGGTCTCCAGTCAGTAGAAATGTTTTGGAAGGATTGTGGGTGTGTTCTTGCTGGAGAAGGGGCTGGGCTTTGATGTGTCTAAAGCCCACTTAGGCCCTGTACCACTCACTCTCTCTGTCTAAAAGCTGCATATCAGTGTGAGCTCTCAGCTACTGCTCCAGTGTTGTGCCTGTCTGGCAGCCACCATGCCTCCTGCCATGATGGACATGGACTCACTCTCTGAAACTATAAGCAAACCTTCTATTAAGTGCTTCCTTTTATAAGTGCCCAGGTCTTGGTGTTTTATTACAATAGAATAGTAATTAAAACAGTAAGTTTAGCAATATTTCAAAGCAGTACATTAAATATAGAGTATGGAGTTTTAACATGTAACTCTTCTATATATCACAATAAAACTGTATACCATGTAATTTGTACCTTCTCTCCTTAATATATAAACTGTAATTTTAATAAAATATGAGAATTAATTTACTACTATGAGTTAAGTTCTTAGAGGATATCCACTCTAACTTCAATATATTAAATGTAGTGAAACTTGGCAAGGAGAGAAAAAGATTTGCAAATACCAAGGGACATGCCCTTGCCTCCAAAACCAGTATCTGAAGCCAGTTTCCAACCACTCACAGCAGAGAGATCAACAAAATGCCTTTCTTTGAACACAAAGAGTGCAGATTTTGCAAATGCTGCCTTTCTGTATCAAAAGTCAGTCTATTAAAGTACATGAGGTACAGAATAAGAACTAACAATCTATACACAGTTATATGTAAAAAGATATTAAGTCTGGAATTTACTTCAATATACTCTATAGAGAGGCTTTAAAAGGTACACAGTAAAACTAGGATTGCTTGATAATTGTTTATATTGAAGGATAGACACACGGAGGAGATACGAGTATTTCTCCTCTACATCCACTTCAATCTCCTCTATACCCACTTCAAATAATCCTACTTAAGCCTATTTCAAACTTCAAGCAACTGCTTCCCTTAAAAGATTTTCTTCTCCAAGCACTGAGCTGTATCTGCCTCCTTAATATTGAAAAACTGGTAGAAACAATGCGGACAATATCTTCTGTGACCAACAAATGTTCGTCTCCTTGTGAGCCTTCTGAGTCATGGCATAATACAAAACCAAAAGTATTTACATTCTATCCAATGCATTAACACAAGTATCATTCTGGTACACTCTACAATAGTAAGAAATTATTTTATATATTATATATTATATATTTATTATATATTATATATTACATATTACATATTATATCCTATATGTTACATATTACATATTACATATTACATATTACATATTATATATTATATATTAAGGTTTGGTACAAGTTAAAGGCTTAAGTTATCTTCAGAAAGACTTCTAATTCTGTTTAGGTTGTAGAGAGTGAACAACAGCATCACACTGTAATGACAAGGAAAAGCTAGACAATCTATCCAACTATAATTTTGCTTGAATTCATCAGCGTTAAATAGCAAGTGCATGCCCTAAAATCCCAAAACAGGTGGCAGGACTGGGATGGGCCATGAGTACCAGGTGACAAAAATCAATTCCCAGGAGATAGACTGCAATGACCCTACAACTGAGTAAGATCCCAGCTAAACTTTTTAATGGATTGCAAAAGGCCAAGGGTGGCTTCTAAGAAAGTATAAAAACACTGAGAGGCTCACACACAGGGGCATCAATTGCAGGTTGTTTCTGCAGAATGGCAGCACTCCCATTTTTCCACTTCCTGGCACACTGAGATCGTAGGAGTCCCAGCTGCACACTCAGCAGCATAGACTTTGTCCTGCCTTCTGACTGTGTCAGCTCAATGAATGAGTTGAAATAAACCTTCTTTAAGTTGCTTCCTAGCTATTTGATCATACCAATGAGAAAAGTAACTGATACAAAAAAGTCAGTAAAAGAACAAGATGGGTCTGGTGGTACATGCCTTTAACCCCAGCTTGTGAGAGGCAGAGGTAGGTGAATCTCTTGAGTTCATGACAAGCCTCGTCTACAGACTGAGTCCACCCAGGGCTACACAGAGAAACCCTGTCTCAAGAAGCACGAAACAAAAACCAAAAGCAAAAACCAAAATTAAGACAGAACAATGAAGTCATTGTAAAAAAGCTGGCCATGTTGTTCATAGGCCTTTGAAAGTAGCATGCAGAAGAACTGTAGACGAGGGAAAGGCTGCAGGCTAGAGTCCTAGAATACTCTTAGGATGGCTTGGTAGGCCATTGCAGTTGGAAAGAGGACATCTGAATGCTGAAACGTGGACAATGAAGACTGTACTCAAGAGGTTTCCGAGGACAACAGAGCTCTCTAAGGACTAGAACTAGACTAGAGGCCATTTATGTTGTGCTCTAGCAAAGAATCTGACTGTGTTTTGCAATCTTGACTATTTCAGTGAGGTTGAAAAAATAATAGGCTTTGTTTGGTGGAGAAAATCTTACAATAGTCTAACATTCAGGCTATGGCATGGCTACTGCTCAATGCATTTATCCTAATTCATAGAAAACAGAACAGAAAAATATTTTAAAAATGTGCAATTTAAAAAGAAAATGAGCTCTAGTGTGGGTAAAGTAGTGGACAGTGGAAAGTTGGCTGTGGTGACCCAATCCTTTAGTCCCAGTACTGGGAAGGCAGAGGCAGATGGATATCTGTAAGTTTGAGGTCAGCCTGGTCTACAAAGTCCAGGACAGCCAGTGGCCTGGGAGAAGAGGGATTGGGAATATTCACAGTAATCTTGGGAGGTATTTTAACTTTATGAAAATTTATCACACCATGTACTTTTCTGTTTTTATATCATTCTTCTTGCTTTTAAACATAAAGCAATTCTAAATATTTTTTACCTATAAAGACCTCCAAAATGTATGCCTGGTTGAGTGAAGACTATGTGAAAATACTAACATTTTTATGAATCAGTACTGACTAAGGACACCTGTTTATGTATAGTAATCACAATGGAAACATCCACTGAGTTCTAACTACTTGCTGAGGTACTGTACTAAAGGCATTCTATCACCTCAAAAACATACAGTGTGTAGGATTATGATCTTCACTTTACAGATGAAAAAACTGAAGCACAGAGATGTGACTTGCTCACAGTTTCTCAGAATGAAGTAGGAGTGGTGTAGGACTCTAGATCACTATCACCTTGCAATCTCCGGAAAGACACTCAAAACTGCCAACAATGATTCCTCTGAGAAGGAGCCTGGGGCTATGAGACAGCCTAAGAGGAAGACTGCCTTAGTACAGTGCTCCATGGGTAGCTCTTAAAAATTCATTTGTATATCTTATCTACTACCAAAATGTACTTATTAAAGTTCTTTTTGTGACTTATAATCTCCACTATATACTTACTTTATCCAAAGGCGAGCACAGGTGTATTACTTTACCTGATTTAGGATGCAAAGCATCGCACTGGGCATTATACATGTGCACAAATTCCTGATGCCTTTTAATAAGCTGCTGTTTGTTTCCTTGAATAGATAAACCATGCTGTTTCAGCTTTTTCTTTAAATCTCGATCAGAGAGCAAGTTATATACAGTTTTGGGCAATGGCTTCCTTTTGTGAGCAGAACTAAGACAAACAAACAAGAAAGATCTTAGGATTACTGTGAATTATCAAATATTCTCAGATAAAACAGTAATTTACCTTCCCAATACCTGAATGACTAGAAAAATAGTTGAGCCAGTAAGATAAAAAAAGAAGAGGAAGAGAAGATAATTTAGCCAATGGAGTACTTGCTTCATAAGCATGAGTTTGGCCTTAGCATCCATATAAAAAGCTGGGGAGGTAGAAACAGGCATCCTTAGAGCTTGCTAGCTAGCTTGCCCACCTAATGACCAAGGCTAGGCAGGTCCCAGTAAGAAACTCTGTCTCAAAAGAACAAGGTAGAACAGACTCCTCATTATGAGACCCAGGGTTGACCTCTGGCTTTCACACACATGCTAACATACACATGTACCCCCTACACATGAGCAGGAATAACCACACCCACACAAAGGTAGATAGATGGGTAGGGTACCAGCATAAGCATTCCAACTGGAGGTTCAGCTCTAAGGGGAATTAGATGTATAAGAAGCAATTATCAAAGTGGTCCTCACAATTGCAATCATTTCAAAATTACAACAGCAAATTAGTAAGCTCTTAAGACTAACGGGGTTTAAAATAAAAAGATCTTTTAAAAATAAGTGAAGAGAGTTCACAAAAGGCTGTGCTTCTCAAATTTCAGAGGACCTCAGAACTACCTGGAGAGCTTCTTTCAAATGAAGATGTTCAGTCACTTTCCCCACAGCATCCATCTACATGGTGCAGGCCTGAAGGTGAACTGAAAGTCTTTACTTTCCAGTTTCCCAAGGTAAATCTGATGCAGTGGTCCAAAGGTCATACTGAGAGCACTATTACAGTCAAGTATAGATACAACAGTTCTACTCACACAAGAATCATTTCCTGACTAAATTATGTCATTTATGCTCTATCAGTCTGAAAGCCAGAAATAACTACTTAATTGTAAAAGGACCTGCAACTTCAAAAGAGTATATTTTTCCCAAAATTGTTCTTATAACGAGATCCAACTGGACTCCACAAAATTGATGAAATTATGGTATAATAAAAATCACAGTAGGTAGCAACAACTGAATCATTTTAGTGTTTATGACAAGCACAAAGGAAGGAGTGATTCATTAAGTCTCTAAAACATGTATTTTATCAAAGACAGACTACTACATTTACAACTATGAAATTCTAATAAACACCTGTAGTGTTTACTGGCATTGACAATGAAAGCACCACCAGACATCAACCATCTCTATCAAGAATGTAAGACTCTGAAGCCAGAGACACATTCCCCCCGTATGACATGACACTGCTCTTTTCTATGCTGACTGAGTAAAGGTGACTATCACAAGTCGGGTTCTCAGAACCAGACATCAGTAGGAAAGAGCTCTGCTCTGAACCAAGTGACAGCTCCACACAGAATGGGGTCAGGGTTACCAGCCACACTCAGCAGTGACCTTTAGTGTTTTAAAGGAGAGACTGTAAAGCACAGAGACCCTTATGTGACCAAACCCCAGGCCAGGATATAACTAAACAGAATCAGGTCTGTGTTTCCCTAAGTATCTCTGAACCATTTTGTAAGAAATACTTCTGAGGACAAAAAGAAACAGAAAAACTTGGATTAAAGCCAATTTAAGAATTATGAAACAAATCCAACACCAGAAGCTGTCTCAAGTGTAGGCTCTCTTAGCAGTCTACTGAGTGAGTGACACAATACTGGCCAATTCTAAGTTGCACTGGGGACCAACTGGCAAGGCTCTCTGTGCAGCCACATTTGGAGCACCACTGGACAGAGCTAGAAGCATTAGAAGAATACAACAGAACCTTCTAGAAAGAGAAAAATCCAAACAAGATCATAAGTGCAAATTTCTTACTCTTCAGGGAGAAAATACTCAGCTTTTCTACTTCCAACTCACTTTCTAGGGTGAAACACAAGAGAATAAAGCTGGTCACGAGACAGCTCAGAAGTCACCCTGGGACATCTTGTATTATCACAAATTCCCCCTAACTAAGCAACATAACCACCTAAGTCTGATTCCCATCAACAAACTGTGGGTATAAGAAGGCAGTCCTTAGGTCTGGAGAGATGGCTCAGTGGTTAAGAGCACTAATTTTCTTCCAGAGGTTCTGGGTTCAATTCCCAGCAACCACATGGTGGCTCACAACCATCTGTAATGGGATCTGATGCCCTCATCTGACATGTCTGAAGACAACTAGCTACAGTGTACTCATACACATTAAATAAATAAATAAATAAATAAATAAATAAATAAATAAATCTTTAAAAAAAAGAAGGAGGAAGAGGAAGAGGAGGAGGAGGGAGAGGAGGAGGTGTTGGCAGCCCTTGGAGTCGAGGACAGCGTGTGCTGAGTTAGCAGTGCACGGCCACACTTCAGCCTTTATAAGTTACTGCAGTACAGCCTGCCCCTAGAACCTACATTCACTCCAAACTGACTCAGAAAAACTGAGTTGCACCTTTTTAGTTTTAATAATTAAAACAGTAAGATGGTCCTGCCTCCTGAGAGAAAGCTTTGGGGAGAATATCCCTCAAAAAGGATGAATATAAGCGCCAATCACTCTCTTCACCCCACTTTCCAGATCATTGAAGTCTTTAGCCCCCTTCTCTTTCCCACAGCTCTCTGGATTCTCACTGACTGTCTCCAACTTCACCCCACTTCATTCCCTGTGCACACCACTGTCCTGTCTACCACCTGACAATGCAGGAAGATTGAGACCTATACCCTGTCTTTAAAATAAAATCTTCCCTTGACCTCGATGCCCAGGCTTCCTCCAACTACATCTACCATTGCCAGACTCAAACACAACTCTCTGTTTCTTTATTGTCTCCACCAGCCACTGATTCCTAAAGCCCTGCAATTTAACTTCAACTAAAACATCCCTCCCTGAACACACAAGTGGACTAGTTTCAGATTTGGTGACAGTGGTACACAAAGGACACGATGTAGCACAGTAGTTTAGGTACAAATCTCGACCTCACAACTTATTAGTAATGTCATCTCTGGGTGTTTTGGAGAAAAGGTCATTACATTCCATACATACTCTCTGGCAAGGAAGAGGGAAATCAGAAGCATAGGACTAGAATGACACCGTGTAGCCTAGGCTGACCTACTTTTTCAGTAGTCTATGAGTCTCCTTGAGTCTCCTGTCTCAGCCTCCTGAATGCTAGGATTGCAGGCACATATCACTATACTCAGCTAAAAATATTCTTCTGCATCATTTTTACAGGGGATCATTATGCTACTGAACAGCCTATTCAAAAAATAATTTTTTGCAAAAGCTCTCTAGGATTCAATTCTCAGCACTATATAAATACAGACAGACAAATATACAGTAAGTTTGATTTAAATACTTAAAATATTACATTTTTAATTGTTTAAATATTTATTTAAAATATTAAACATCCTAAGAACTAATAAAAGATTTTACATTCTTCAAATTCAAGCTGTCCTTGCTCTTTTTGGGCAAGGCCTCTACATGATCATTTAAGAATTCTAAAAAGAAAGTAAGTGTAAAAGATAAGTGAATTCTAAGTCACTAGCTTCTCTAAGTCATAATGTAGCAGCAAGCAAGCACTAATCTGCTACTGAAATATGGCAGAGTGTGAGCTCAAGAAGGAAAATGAGGGGATGGAGAGGTAACCATCATTAAAGGAAAAATCAGGCAGAAAAGGAAATAAAGAGTGGTAGTCAGCAGGACAAAAGGAGTCCTGGTTTTGATCCACATCTATTAAGCACAGAAGCATCATGCGAAGGCAGCTCAGAGGCTTTGCTCACCTTCTAAGGCTCTCCTTCTTCTCTTCACGTGATAAACAACTGTCTAAATGCTTATTGATGTGATTTTCTGGAATGCTGACCCCACAAACAGGACAAGACACTGCATTTAAAAGAGAGGGGGAGACTTTATTAGCCATAGAATGGGCAAAAATTAACAAACTGGCATCTTTCAGTAATTAAAAGATAGAATCACAGCTAATACACTCTTTTAAAAAGAGCAAGGAGAACAGACAAACTGGTTACTAATAACTAGCTACTTTGGGAAGTCACATGATCAGAATCCTGGGCCTAGAGGCTGCAATTAAGTTTGGGAGTTAGCTAACTGGAAACAAGGTACTAAGAAACTACAATGCTGAGTTTCCCCAGGCCCCAGGCCCCAGGCCCATCTTACACAGGACAGAAGCAATCTCAACAACTCTGGAATCCACCTATGAGTAAAACCAAGGCTTTGCTGGCCATTACAATCTGACTGAACTACTGACCCTGGCTGCTCCTAGGCCAGGTCCACCTTATTAAAGGTGCAGCTTTGTGGAGTCACAGTGAATGTAGAGGTATCCACCATGGGCTAAAATGCAGTAGCCAATGAAGGAAGGCTTGGGGCACCAGAGTCTCCAGACTCCCTACTTCTACTTGTAATAGAACAGAGAATTCTATCTTACATATTATGGACCATTCTAAGATTTCAGTTGGATAAAAAAGAAAAAAAATCTACAAGAGTTGAATACATGTCCGTATGAAATAAAAACACAACAACAAAAACCACAGTCAGAGTGATCTCCAGGCTAAGATGCTGATATGCATAATCAAAAAATAAGAAAAAATAAACCTTAAAAATACAAGTACTAATAAGCTAATTCCAATTTTCTAGTAAACACTACTGGCCTTCAAGTGGGGGTTTGTATGGGTTTGCTAAACACACACATTCATAGTAAAAAAAAAAAAAAAAAAAGGGTCCTAGAGACTGGCTGTGGGTTTTCCAGATGACCCTTCACACCACAATCCCAGCTCTGTCACCATTAAGCCACTCTGCACCACTGCAGCATGCAAACACCAGAGTTAGTATATAAACAAAGGAAGAGTGCATGTTCCAGGACGTTGGTATGTACTGAACAGGCAGCACATCCTGTCAGTTTTCAGTTACTGTCAGTCTGAGTATACTGTAGGAAGAGTGAGATAACAAACTGGCTACAGAGACATTCTGGGAAAGCCAGGAAATAAGGCAGGTTCACTGAAGTAGTGTCATATGCCAAAGGGTATTAAGCTACAAGCAGAACAGCAAGGACATGTTCAACCAGTGGTATAAAATGAAGGCCTCTTTAAGAGTTAACTAGAACTGGATGAGGTGATAGGTTCCAAGCTAAAAAACAGAAAGCTACCATAAGAAGCTTAACTATTAAGTACTCAGCAGTTACTAGGGCTTAAGAGTAAACTGGGTTCTAGCTGCTCATCTGAGACTTACTCTACAACTATTCTGCAAGAATCATCCTGACCGCTAATCTATAAGCCCCTAACCATGGAATGCATCGATGCCTGAGACATCGATGCCTGAGGTGAGGTGAAACCCAGTCTAGTCTGTCTTACCCCCCAACCCCAAAAGTGCTGCCTATCAATCTCATTCCACATGAGTGAGATTTCCTTAAGTATAAAACAGCATATATAAAGATGACTTCCTACCTTTAGTATCCGGTTTCATAGTGGATGTAGAGGGTGTCACAGGACCATTAGCATCTGAGAGACCAAGTACCGTCTTTCCCAGGAGACTTGTCTCTTTAATCTCAGCAGAGGTGCTTATCTCTTTTTGAGGGCTGAATTTCCTCTCATTTTCTTTTCCCAACAACTCGGATACACAACCACCAGTTTCTCTAATTAGGAACTTATCCATTAATCTGTTCCCCTGTTTGACAGGGTGTTGGGTGGCTTCAGCATTATGTACTTTAACAGCAACCTTCTTTGAGGTGGAAGACACAGGAGATATGGGTGGTGACTCTAAAGCAAACTGCAACAGGCGAGTCCTTGAAACACACAAAACAAACAAACAAGTAAATAAGATGCCAACTTATACATAATACAGTGAGTCTTCCTAATTAATACTTGGTTCCTCTGAAACACAGAACTTCTGTCAAAATCACAACCAAACTAAAAAGTTTCTTTTAAATGAGAAATAAGACAATGAATCAGAATTAAAAGGCAGTTACTAGGGCTTAAGAGTATATTGGGTTCTAGTCACTGATGTAAGACTTACTCTACCATGGCTCAGTAAAATCTAGAGAAAGACACGCAGCCACAGTTAGCACTACAGTACAAGCAACCCAAGAGTGTGAGCCCTGCCGGGGAGAAGAGAGGCAAATGAAGTGATCAACACTGACCCAAGACCTTCACCTGGGAGCACTTGCTTGGATTTGTATGTTGAACTGACATCTAAGCAGGAGAACTGACCTCCCTGACTCAGGGAGAAGAGAGCACAATTCAAGGCAAAGATGATGAGAACTAGAGGAACAGTGTGCTAGGCGTGTGGGAGTGAGCCACGAGAAGGAACCCCTCACCCATCTGCAATCATCTCCAGGGTATGCGAGGACAAACCTCAGGGGCCTGGTAGGAAAGACACTGGTAAACCGATGCCAGAGGCAGTTCTAGAAAGATGCTCAGCTTAGGCCAGCCAAAATGGGATACCCTCACAGAGACCATGTAGACTGAGGTGAGATGTCACAGAGGCCACATCTTAGGAAAAGGGACCACTCTGTGCACGGAGTGTGTTCACACAAATGTGCATGTATGCATATGTGTTTACATCTGTATGCATAAAACTCATGTGTATGCATGTTATATATGTGTGCAAAACTAAAATAGAATCTAGTAATACATTGCACCAACCCTTAACAGAACAAAAGCAATGAGCTGGTAATTTAATTGCTTGTCAGAACAAAATGCACTAACTTTCAAAAAGTATAGCTTTTCTTTCCTGCTGGTCTAGGTTTATCAATGTGCTGCCTCTTTCCTTTCTTTTCCTTTCTTTTTTTTTTTTTTTTTTTCTATACAAGGTCTCACTATAAAGCCCTGGCAGGCCTAGAACTCACCAATCTGGTAAAATGCTACTTAAAAACAAAACAACAACAAAAACTCAACAACTAGTATCAATCATCAGTGATAACAAATGAGATATGTCATTTTCATAGGAAAAGTTAGGTACAAGATAAGTAAAAGGGTTGGCCCATTATATAACCTTCCCTACTTTCATGTATATTTAAATTCTTCCACTACTAAAAAAAAAAGAAAAGAAAGAAAGAAAGAAAAAAGATAAAAAATAAAGGGAAGCTAAGGATGGTGGCAGCACATGCTTGTAATCTCAGCATCAGAAGGATGGAGCAGAAGATTCTAATTCAAGTGCAATTTCAGTTACATAATGATGCTGTGTCTAACACAATCAAAAAAAAAAGGTAGGGAAAGGAGGGAGGGACATTAGGCAAGAGGATGGAGAGGAAGGGGAAGGAAGGAGAGAGAGAGGGAGGGAAGGAGGGAGCAACAAACACACACACACCCCACTGGGCTCAGTAGTCTCTTTTCCTTCCAGCCTCCTCTGGATTTAGTACAAAGAAGGCTCTGAGAAAAGCTTTCCTGTCACAGTAACAAAGGAGAGGAGAGGCCACGGATCCTTCCAGCATGCTAGTGATCAGTTTTTGCCTTTATTCCACAATTCAGGTGAATTTTGGCTTTCTTATTTCAAGGCATGCCAATAAAGACTATGGCAGACAGTAGCAGCAAGACCACAATAAACTATTCTCAGGGTTAAAATTAAAATCAATTATCTTATTCCAGTACCATTTACTCTTGCCAGAGAAGCACAATAGAAAATAAAGCCTATACTCACAAAAGTTACACAATAAGGAAAAAAATGAATATGTTTATACAATTTATGTGAAACATGCTAATACAATGGTGCCTAAGGGCTAAGAAAACCAGCGGTAGAGAGATTCCCTAGCATGTGGTAGGATAAGAGTGCCAGCCCTACACTAGGGAAAAAAGTATGTAAAATAAAGTAAAATAAAATGCAGCCAAGCATGAGAAGATGAGGTAAGTATTCTTTACAGCGGGTCAGAAAGCCTCACTGAGAAGGTAACCCATGGGAACAGAGTTCGGGGAAAGTCAGTCTAAACCAGGAGGCCCCTGGGAAGACACTGGTGCACCTACAAAGAACAGCAAGCACAAAGTCTGGAGTCAGATGCAATCAACATGGCAGAGAAACAAGAAGACCTGCAACTTATTAGGTTAACTTAATATGCTGAATCATAGTTGTTTATTCAGAACAAGAAGCCATGTGGTGAGCAGTTTTGGGGCTCTCTCAGCTGTCTGAGATGGAATGTGTATGCCTTTCTAAACTAGCTGACTTGAAGCAGACCAGTAAAACTTCCTGGGACTTTATTTACCCATCTGTACAATAAGATGTTGAGATATCGAGTGCCTGGGATGAGTGCTATTTGGTTCTGCGGTGCCAGATCACTTTGATAAGAATTCATAAGGGTGACGGAAACTAAGGAAACATGACCAGTGCCATTTAAATGTAAATACCAGTTTGGAGATTAGCACTTCTGTCTAATTTATTCTAGGGTATATGAGTTGCAAAATATTTCTTGGTTTTAGATGTCATCTGTTTTCATGTTTTTGCAAATCTTTACATAGGCCCTTCTCCCAGACTTCAGCTTCCTGTCAACAGCCTATCTCCCATTTATCCTTGAGTCTCTTAAGAGCAACTTAACACTTAGCATGTACAAAGGAGACTGCTGGTGCTCTCCTCTGTTCCATCCCTGCTCTCACAGTTGCTGTGTCTCTTAGCAGCAGCACTTCCCGAATGCCAGGATGAAGGGGAGCCACTACATCTGGCTAAGAACACTGCTTTAAAACAAGCCAAGAGAAAGTGTGTTCTTTGAAAATGAACACCAAAGGTCAAAAGAAAATGTAAAAGAACATCATCCTTGTATCTGAAACCTCTTAAATTATTTCCCATAACTTATTATTCAACTTAGAATATTAAATTTTTAAAAAATCCAAATGGCATATAAAATGGTAAGGGCAAATGAGAAGGGCAAGAAATAAAATCAACAAGCAATCTAAATATCTTACATTTTAGTCATAAGATTATTCTTCTTCCCTCATCAATCTTAGACCACAGTTCAAACAGGTAATGATATTGATCACCTTCTGTTTCATCCCTACTAATCTTGCAGTTGACGTACCACAGCACCATATATGATGAATATCTAAGAATGATCAAGGGTGATGCTAAGAATGGTAATGCCAAGAAGGTAAGCCCAAGGAGAATGACAAATTCCATTGGAGACCTTCAAATACACAGACACATAAGATATACCTTAAAAAGTAAAACAAACAATTCAAACAAAACAAAAAAGTCCAGAAGATAACTGTCATTAAGTGACTTTGGTGGAAATAAGAGAAGTTCAAGACCCAGATCTCCCATACAGCTGGGGCTGGCAGTGTACTCCTCCAGCCTCAGCACTGGCCCGGCAGAGACAGGCAGACCCTGAAAGCTTATTAGCTAGTCAGCCTAGACACTTCAAGTTTATGTGAACTTCAAGTTAGTGAGAAACACTCCCCCAAAATTCAAGGAATGATCACAGCAGGAAGGCATCCCGTACTGACCTCTGGCTTCGACACCCTCACATGCACACGCAAGTGTGCCTATACACATACTCATATATATCCACATTAACAAGCACACATATCACACTTACACACACCTAGGGAAAACCTAACAGACATGAGTCTTTGCAGTATGCAAGACAGAAAGCAATGACTTCAATAGGAGAATCAGATAAACACATAGTTTCTTATTCTAGAAAAGTGCTCTATTACGTGGCCTCACAAAGAAAATAGCTAACCAGCCAGTTGCTGCAATGGCATACTAGAGTCAAGAGTACCAAATGTAATCATCTTTATGATACAAACCTATTAAAAACTGCAATTCTACCAGAAGTCTGAAGACATTTTTAGAAGCAAGGTAAGGTATCTCCAAGAATGTCAACAAGTGAAGAAATCTTATACATGGACATGTGAACTAACAACGTGATTAAAACAACTATAAGATCTGTTCAGTAGAACATGCCTTTTTATATCCCTTTAGGTGACCAAGCTCATACTTATACATTCATGCACTTGACAGTTAAAGAGCACAGCTATGTATGAGAGCTTTACAGAGAAGAAGCAGTTGCATGTATCACACAGTATACCATATTACACATGCTGAGTAAATCTGATTAAGAATTAATAGGTTAAAATATAACAGAACCAATTATAAATATGTGCACAAAGGGGTAATATACATACCTGCATAGAAACACATATTCTCTAGTGCTGTCCACTAAAAAGGCTAGCATCCCAGAAGCAACACAACACCAACTATAAATAAAGTGCCAATATATCTACACTTTAACTCTTAGTTCTTCAAAATAGGAAAGTTTCTAGTAGAGAAAATCTTACGACTACTTATTAGAATTTCCTCCCATGTGCAGAGGCTATCACCGCTTCCCTTTTTTGGTTCCAGTATGTACCCTGCACTCCCTAACAGAAAGGGCATGGGGAGGAGGTACACGTAAAGAGGAAAGGCAGTTAGAGGTTAGTCACCAAACTGAATCATACCGTGCAAAATTCATGCTTTTTACCAGTTCATCTAAGAGGCGATTATTTCTCAGGTCTGGCTCCGTCACTGCCTGGAAAAGAAAAACAACAGATGGAAAAGGTCAAGAGCAGTAATTAACTTGTCACAATCTTGTTTTTGAAAATGTCTGACCTGTCCTCCTGGGGCTCTCTGTCCCACTAGTCTTCCAGGAAAACTTGAAAATAAAGTGACTTCATCTCATACTAACACAGAACTTCAGCAGTGAATCAGGACCTGCTAACCAGAAGCCTCGTAACAGCTCTCAAAAGCATGTGAAAACTATCCGCTACTTACTCTGACCAACTAAGACAAAACCCAATACAAGCAAGGATTTTTCTTTAAAATGCCAAAACTGTAGCTTTCCCTAATGACTTACAAACAGAACAGAGAAGCTCTTCCAAGTAATACCTCTAGGAGAGAAGCATTAAGTGCTCAAAGAGGGTTAAAACTAAGAAACCCAAGAATACAAGAGAAACATCCAGTCCTGCAGCTCTGGTGTTCTCTGGAATGCTTTGGTGCTAAGTCCACCTAACAAAGGCAGCAGGCAGTGACAAAGACCTCAACTGCTCTGTTTCTGACTGAGGGAAACAGTTTAGACAAATTCAGTGACATCCTGACACGATGCGCCTGCTGGCCAGAGTGGTCACACCTCCAGCTCCTCATAGCATCCTTTTCAAGAGACCTGTGTCTTTTCCCAGATAGGAGTTTAATTTCCCATTTTATTTCCCTCTCTGTCTGTTCTCACCTCAAGAAAAAGTCTCAGACATGACAGCACACTTGCTGATGTTTGTTCTGAAAGGGCTGCTCTGGGAGGGCGGTAGGAGACTAGGGAGGCTTGGGTGAGCCCAGCTGCCATGAATCTCTTGCCTCCTACAAATATATGCACCAATCCTTCACAAATGAAGAATCCCAGCATTTGTTTGCATACAAAGTGAGGAATTATAAAAAGTTAGAAGCCACAAAAACACAAATTGTAGGAATCAAACAGTATCAGAGCTTTTTACTTCCTAAATTACATTAGGGTATCAAAAATCCTGATGAGAAGTGGAATAAAACCCATGTCTCTTATGTATACTTAAGAATTCTTTCCTGGAAATGTTCAAATGATTTAATTCAGTGACTATATATCATCCCATGGACACATAAAGCAAAAAATCTGCCCTAATCAACAAAATTTTAAAAAATAAAAATAAAAACTTACCACGCAACAAGTTGGGCACTGAGTTTTATACGACAAAAATTTTCTTATACAGAGTGAACAATCTGCAAAGACACAAAATGTAACATAGGCAGTTACGCTATTCAGTAATGTAGGAATCTGACTTTTAACACAATGTTGGCTTACGACTAGAATATGTCCATCATTACTTCATTCCAAGTGTCTAGTGTCTTCTTGCTCCCTGAGTATGTACGTGTGTATCTAAGAATCACTGTTAAGAAAGGGAAGCACCCTAGTACAGCAACTCTCAAAGCTCTCACCACTCTGTCAGCATCACCACTCCCTCACTGGCCCCGCTGTGAACCACAAGGACACACAGAAGCCCTGGGCTTGTTTCATACGCATGGCAGATGCCTAGTATTTCCCTCTTGAAAACAGAAAACTGGAAAATGGGATATACAGACACAACACATATCCAGGTTATTAAAAGAGTTCTACACCCTAAAACTGTTAGGCCCACAACCTCATGCTTAACAAGCATTTGAGTGGCACGTGCCAAACAATACAAAGGGCTAAGGGTTTGCTTTTTTGTTGTTGTTGTTTTGTTTTGTTTTGTTTCAATCTCAAATAGCCAACAAAGTACAGGGCAGCTACATTACAAAGTTAAGCAGGAAATAAGCATCTACTAAATTTCAGCATAACATGAAAACTCTCGGGTGTAATAGACTGACACTTTGCTGGTGGCTCCTTTATGAAGGGCTGAATTAAGGAGCCTTGTTAAAAAACAAATCCATTTAGATGAGGAAGCAAAAACAGTATGATTTTGATGGTACAAGTATTTATAAAGAAATATTGCCAGTTCTAACAACAATACTCTAAGTGGTAACAGGATATATTACGGCCAAGAACAAGTCAGAACACAGGTTTAGCTCTTCTGGACATTGCTAAGAAGCTGGAAGTGGCCATTCAGCTGGAAGTAGCCATTCATTTGTTCAGCAACCTGAAAAACCAACAAATCTCCCTAGAGCCATGAAAAAACAAGGTCATAGGCTAAACTGCTACCCCTCCCCAGAAAATCTAGATAGGCAACACCTCAGGGAGAAGAGACCACAAGCAGAAAGCACCTCAGGAGCCAGAAAAGCAGCCTGTACTGGAGCCGCCACCAAAGAGAACATATGAAGTGTGACTGACAGCTGCTGGACAGATCTGAAAGCTGGTGTCAGGAGTGGGAATACTGCTCTGACAGGCCTAGAAACAGAGAAGGCTTTGAGCCTCTGGACTAGGAACGCAGTTGAAGTGGGGTCTAATGGGCCATCCTAGTAAGAGCTTAGAAGACAGTAGTGTTGAGAGCAATGTGGGCTATGGAGGCCCAGCTCAAAGGACTTCAGAAAGGACTATGTGCAACATTCTTGGGATATTTTGGCAAAGAATTTAGCTACTTTCCACAACTGTCTTAAAATTTTGCCTGAGGCAACACTGAAAATAATGGATTAAATTCCTTGGTAAAGAAGATTTTAAAACAGTCAAACACTGACTCTATCAACTAGTTCTTAGAAATCACTCTTGGGTCTAAAATAAAAAAGAGCAAAAATATAAAATGTAGTTTAAAAAGGAGAACATTAAATGTCAGAGCCAAGGCCTATGCTGAAGAGATAAGAAGATTAAAGGAAGGCCTGTTGTACAACGGAATAATGGAAGGGGTGCACCAGAGCAAGATCCCATTTAGCTAAGCTTCCATCTTGGAAAAAGGAAATGCCTGCAGAATTTTCTGTTGTTAAAAACAAAGGAACGCCTCTATAAATGTTATTCAAGGAGGGGGCCAGGCTCTACCTGAGTGAACAATAAAACTTGGCAGGGTTGTCCATGTGATTCTTGCTTTCAAGTCATAAGGATACACAAGCAAAGTGGTTGTGGAATCTTCCTCTAGGACTAAAGACAGCCACTGAAGGCTGTACAGAATCTTTACATACTGTTCAGAAGCATTACCTACCAATAAAAAGCCTGTGACTGATGAGGCAGGATTAGCAGGATTAGTAGGTGGGTCATCCTACAGAGAAAGATGAAATTCTGGGAAATAGTCATCCTGCCAACGCTGAAGGTGATGACTGCATGAAACAGAGGAGAGGTAACCAGACAACCATGTGGTGAGACTTAGAGTAGAATAAATGGGTAATTCAGTTATGAGCTAGTCAGGAACAAAAAAAAAAAAAAGCTATTGGCTTAGGCATTTATTCATATATAAAAACTCTCAGAGTTATTATTCCAGGGAACGGAAGATGCAAAACGGAAATGCCCATGGTTACAGAGCCCAGGTATGTGGCAGGGAATCCCAAGCAAGAAGTCTCTGAAAGGCCACTTCATAAAGCTGTGAATATGAAGCCTAGACCCTGTTGGAGATCCCAAGCTGCTGGAGGTGCCAGGTCATGAAATATCTGCCTAGCTGAGCTAGCTGTATACAAGGAGTGCAACTAGCCCAAGAGCAAAGAGTGTTGTAGTCAGCAAAGCTGGAAGCAAACCATCAAAATCCTCTGACATCAGACATGGAGCTACAGAATTTGGAGTTTGCCCTGCTTTGTTTCAGTCTTATATTGGTCCAGTATTTCCTCACTATAAGCCTTTTCCTCCATTTTGGAATAAGGTCTATTCTATGCCACTGTATATTGCAATTATGTAGCCCACTTTTTGATTTTGAGCTTACAGATGGTTACAATTAAAATATTGCCTTGAGTTTCAAAAGAGACTTTGAACTTTTAAACTATTCTGAGATTGTGAAAAACTACAGGGACTTTTGAAGCTAGACTAAATGCATTTTGTATTATTATATAGCCACAAACCTATGGGGACCAGAGAGCAGAATGTCATGATCTGAAAAAAATGGCCCCATAGGCTCATATATTTGAATACTTCGTCTCTACTTGGTGGAACTATTTGGGAAGGATTAGAAGGTATGGATTAACATAATTATAATACAATTAATATTTAATGAATATAAATATGAGTTAATATTGCTTGTCAGAGGACGTATATTACAGACTATTCCCAATTAGCTCTCTCTGCCTCAGAGTTGCATCTCTAGACATGACATCTCAGCTACTGCTCCAGAGCCATGCCTGCCTGCCTGCCTGTCTGTTGCCATTTTTCCCACCATGATTCTCATGGACTCTAGCCCTCTGAAACTGTAACCCACAAATAAGTTCTTTCTTCTATAAGTGGCTATGGCCATGGTGTCTTATCACAACTAGAGAAAAGTAACTAACGAACACAGTAAGAAGTCTCCCAAGCAATATTTTAAGTCACAAATTGCTAACTATACCCTCTGAGCTCAGGCACCTACAGGGTTATAGCTATTGCTTTTAATTTAGTTCCCAGACTCTACTCTCACTTATACTAATTCAGTGGACTGGGTCATTTTAAAAACTCCTTCACTTTAAGCCATACTCATGCAATACAAATTCAGTAATTAGTTTTAGCAGTTAACAAGCACCATCCATCCAACTAAGGGCCTGCACCCCAGAACGTACAGGACTGCAGCTCTGCATACCTCTGTACCTCGTCTGCTATTCTGGTCTGAAGGCACACTTTGCCACCATGATAGCGGTGGACTCTTACCTCTTAGCCCAGTTAAACCTCAAATAAACCCTTCCTTCTGTAAGTTGCCTTGGTCATGGTGTTTTATCACCACAAAAGAAAAGTAACAATCTGCCCATAATGGGCCAGCAGTGAAGGGTTTGTTTGGTTTTGGTATGTGTGTTATACATACAAGCACCTGCCTGGGTATGTACACATGGAGCCAATGCTGCGTGTCTTCCTCAGTCACCCTCTGTCTTATTTTTTGAGACAAAGTCCTGAAATTCACTGTTGTTATTGTTGTTTTTCCAGATAGGCTGAGTAGAGGGAGGCCCCAGGAGCCATCTGTCTTGTCTGTAAGTTCTAAGGTAATAGGTGTCTAGCATCACCTTTGGCTTTTAAGTGGGTAGTAGGGATCACAACTCACATCCTCACTTCACTAAACCATCTTCCACAGCCTTGCCAAGTTCTGCATATTAATTCTCAGAACTATCTTCTCAAGTAAAAACTACTCAACAGACTTTTACATTTAGAGAAATTCTGGGCAATAATTACAAACTCATCCACTTGGTAAGTGGCACTCAAGAACTAAGCGTAGGTGTATCTGCAAAGCCAACATCTGCCATCACCTTATTATGACTTCACAGAACTGTTGCCGTTTTCCAATAAAACCAACTTTAAGCCAAACTGAATTGATTTTTAACTTTCCAAGACAAATCAGCTTGAAAACACAGGACAAAAAATATCGAAACTCTAGTCAACACACTAGATGGTCTAAATGGCAGGCTAAGTAACCTCTACTACCAAAAGCTATTAAAATACTTAGAAGAGTGGCAGAGTACTTGCCTAAGAATGTATGAGGGTGTGGTTAAGTCTTATCCCCCAACAAATAAGTACATAGATGAATAAGCTTATTTAATAAGCATTTAAAAATATTCCTCATAAAGAAGATAAGCATTTCTACTGTTCAATTGTTTTCAGTAGCACACGGCTGCTAAGTGATAAAATAATCTGTAATACTCTTCAGTAAGAGAATTATGAGGGAATCCAGATGGTCCTTGAGTTATGATGGTTTGACTGACAATTTTCCAGCTATACCAGAATGAAAAAATGGTATTCACTCAATAGAAACTATATTTTACATTTTAATTTTCACTGTCCTGTTCCCCACTGCAACCTTCCACTGGCAATATGCAGTATAATACTTTTGAATGCTGGGTAGAGGTAATAAGTATAACTCCTCAAAAGTAAGCTGGTCAGAAGGGTGAGTGTATTCTGCCTGTACTGTGCTACAACAGGAAATAGGTTAAGTGCATTAACAAATGTTTACCTTAATATTTTCAACTGCTGATGGGTTTACTGGGATGTAATCCCATGTTAAAAAGCATCTGCATTCTTATTATTTTGAAGTTTAAAATTTACAATTCCATACTAAGTGGCTGAACCATTTATCTGTCATCTTGCTAAAAATATCCTGAAGTTTAACATTTTAAAGCACTCATCAAATAAGTATATACTGTTACCAAAATCTTTACTACCACAAATTCTACAAAACATATGTAAAAATATCCAAAGGGGGGGTGGGGATGCAGAAAATATAAGAACCTTGTAAAAAACAAAATTGCCATATTCAAGAAAAGGTGATGGCACAGACCAAAAGTGCAAGGCAAAGGAATGGAAGATGGAAAGTGAGTACGTGGACACTGTTTCCTTCAGCAGTAAGGAAAATGACCTTGTGCTTTTACTAAGACAGAACAAAGTGTACTTACAGTTGTGAGAGCACTGGGGGATTATCACTGCAATGTTGAAATACTCAAAGCAAATCCCACAGCGCAGCAAGTCATCTATTGTCTGCAATGCAAAAGCACATGTGTATCAGCAGGACATCAACAGCACAATCAATGCCTGGCATGCAACTTTGCCTCTAGTCCCTAAAATTAATTACTTAACACTTATTTGTGAGTGATACATATTCAAAATCTAACTAGATAAACAACAAAGGATCATGACAAACAGAGAAAAGCCTCCCCACAAATATTCAAGTTTCAGGTTATCCCACTTGCTTTGTGGACAGTTGCAGCTGATGGTTTCTGTGCCACACTGTTAGCCCTTCACAAAGGGCTCCTCCATCCCTGATCTTCTTCTCCTGTGTTTCTAGCTCTTCAGACCCATCCTCTGGCATATAGACACCACTTGGTGGAAAATATCAACAACCAGTCAACACTTGGCTTAAGAACCAAATTGAAGACTGTCTTAGTTAGGGTTTCTATTGCTGAGACGAAAACACCATGACTGAAAAGCAAGTTGGGGAGGAATGGGTTTAGTTGGCTTATACTTCCAGATCATAGTCCATTACTGGTGGAAATCTAGACAGGAATTCAAGCAGGGCTGGAACCCGGAGGCAGAGCTAATGCAGAGCTCATGGAGAGGTGCTACCCTACTTACTGGTCTGCTTCCCGTGGCTTGCTCAGCCAGCTTTCTTATGGAGCTCAGGACTGGTACCTCCCACAGTGGGCTGGACCCTCCTGCACCGATCACTGAGAAAATGCCCTACAGCTGGATCTCATGGAGGCACTTCCTCCACTGAGACTCCTTTCTCTCTGATGACTCTAGCCTGTGTCAAGTTGACACAAAACCAGCCAGTACAAAAGAGTAATAAAGCCAAAGATTTAAAGAGTCTCTAGTAGGGTAGGATCAATGCACTTGTATGTAATACCAGCACTTCGGAGGCTGGGGTAGGATTGAGTGCAAATCGAGATGTGGCTATATAATGAGACCTTATCCCAAACAAAAATAAATAAAAATAGATAAAATACTAAACTACCCAATTAAAACCCTTATTTCACAGTGAGGAAACTTTAACATCCACACAATACTGGGCTTGAGGCAAGCTATGACCGAAATACCCATCTTCCTCATGATAGTCCAGTGCTTTCTGCGTGATACACCACAATGCAGCCAAATGAGAAAGCCTTCAAAACAGCTAGCTAAAGCCAGTGTCAACTTGGACAAGCTAAACAGAGCTAGATTTATTCTTGCAACTTTAAAATCTTTTAATTTGTTTAAGAAAAGTACTGAGTGTAATTATAGTAGGTTGCTTTATTCTCAAGAAATGGAAGTGTGGGAAGATAAGGTTGTAGACAGACAGACACACAGAGAGAGGAAGAGAGAGAGAGAAAGAGAGAGAGAGAGAAATGTAGACTATGGCCAAAGATAGTGACACAGGCTTCCTATAGCACTTGGGAGGCAGAGGCAGGAGGATCTCTGTAAGTTCAAGACCAACCTGGTCTACATAGTTTGAAGGCAGCCAGAACTACAGAGAGACTCTGCTCAAAAAGCAAAACAAAAGACCACCACCAACAACAACAACAAAGTAGAATACATACATAAAGAAACTTCTGAAAGGATACAACAAAGTGACCAATCATGGTTACTAAGATGAGGGAACTGGGCAATGAGGGACAGGGCAGAGAGGAGATCTTTTCCATTTTATGTATGTTTTGCACTATATGAATCTATTACTTAAAAACTGTAGAGGCTGAAGAGATGGTTCAGCAGTTAAGTATTGGAACCCCACCGCCCATACATGGCCCAGGATCATCTATGACTCCAGTTCCAGGGGAGATAACGTTCTCCTCTGACCTCCGTGGGCACCAGGCATGTATGTAGTGCCTATTCATACAAGTAGATAAAGCACTCAATGCACAAAATAAATAATTCTTTAGAATAATTAATGTAAATATACGCAAATAACTATGGGAGTACATTTTTTTACTTTTTTATTGGATATTATATTTACATTTCAGATGTTATCCCCTTACCCCATCCTCCCCCCACCCAGGAACCTCCTATCCCATCCCTCCTCCTCCTGCTTCTATGAGGATGTGGCCCCACCTATCCCCCCACTCCCACCTCTCTACCCTTGAATTCCCCCCCCCCACTCGGTGTCTAGCCTTCATGGGACCAGGGATCTCCTCTCCCACCTATGCTACATATTTTAATCTTAGCCTCCTTCAGAGGCAGAAGCAGGAGGATCCAAAGTTAGAAGCCAGCTTGGGCTAGGTAGCAAGCAAGCTCCAAGCCTACTTGTACTACGTAAGGAGCCTGTCATAAAACCAAACACAAACAAAAAGGTTGTCATTAACAATCCAAGTGAAACATTACATATCTATAAAAACCTGCTTGTGCTGAATGGTGGTAGCACATACCTTTAATCCCAGCACTTGGAAGGCAGAGGCAGTGAGTTCTGTGAGTTCTACACCAGCCTGATCTACAGAGCTAGTTCTGGGATAGACAGGGCTACAACAAAGAAACCTTGTCTCAAAAAACAACACACACACACACACACACAAAAGCAAACAAATAAAACAAATAATAATCAATTGTGGAAGGGAAATGTTCAGGTTGTAATAGATGCATTCTTTTAAACTGTTTATTGGTTATTTTATTTATTTACATTTCAAATGTTATCCCCCTTCCCAGTTTCCCCTCCACTAGCACCCTATCCCTCCCCCCGTCCCCTGCCCCCTGCCTCTATGAGGGTACTTCCCCACCCACCTATCCACTCCTACCTCAGCGCCCTAGCTGTCCCCAACCCTGGGTCATCCAGCCTCCACAGGACCAAGGAGCTCCCCTCCCAAATGATGCCAGATAAGGCAATCCTCTGCTACACATCCAGCTGGAGCCATGAGTCCCCCCCCCCCCAACTCCCCACTACGACAAGAGGCATTGTTTTTAAGAACAGTAAGGAAAAAGCCTGCACTCAGAGGACAGAGCTAGTTCCAGGATAGCCAAGGCTATCCAAAGAAATCCTGTCTCAAAAAACAATGATAACAAAAGCAAAGAAAAACCAACTTTCATAGAGAAATGTTTATGCGGCAATAGATACAATGTATCTATTACATGTAGAAGAAAGTAAGGGTAAAACCCCAGGGGACACGTGCAGGAAGGCTACCCAATGATTCTTGGTAGAAACAAACAAACAAACAAACAAAAAACCCAAAACAAAAAACATCCACCAGATGAGCAGAGAGGACACACATCTTTAATCCCAACACTCAGGAGGCAAAGACAGGCAAGCAGATCTCGGTGAGTTCAAGGCCAGCCTGGTCTACAGAAACCTCATCTCAAAAGAAAAAAAAAAAAAACCCACCCCACTAAATGTTATTTGAGATAATTCAGTATGCAATAATTCCTTAAAATGAAAGGCTAAGCGCTGGGTCTAGGTTCTGGTCTCTATTTTAAAAAGAGTGAGCCAGGGTTGAGCACTCAGGTTGCTGGAGAAGGTGGATCTTGAGGCCAGCCTGGTCTACATACCGAAATCCAGGCCAGCCAAGGGCTGCAAGGTAAGACCTTGTCTCCTAAATTAATAAATAAAAATTAAATAAAGAGAGATGCGTCATTATTGAGACATGCAGGGCATATTAGGCAGGGAAACCGGTTGCAGTGTGTTAAGAACGAGGAGCACTTCTGGGCCTCAGCCAGAAATGGAAAACCACGGTAAGCACATCCTCTGTTATGCTACTTGATTATAAAATGTCATCTGATGCAACGTCCACCCAAATCACGAGTGGTGTTATTGTTAATACAGGAGTTCTCGTCGGATGAGCTGTCACCATCGTTGACACTGCTTTACAGCAACTTTATACTGGTGACGCGGTGATTGTGACAGAAACCCAAAACATCCGGTTCGTTAGGGCGGCCACCTTGGGCTCACTGCGCAGGACCGTAGCGCGTTCCCAGACCGTCTCGGGGGTTGGAAACTGAGGCCCGGCGTCGCGAGGCCAACCAGGATAGGGCCGAGGCGGGGGCGCGCGGACGGGAGTGCCCCGCTCGCACCGACGATGTCCGCGCCCCGGCGTTCCCAAAACACTTACCTTCATCACCGCCAACCCCGGAGGCCACCGCGGCTCGGCCAGGACCTCCATGGTCGCACCTGATGAGACCGCGAGCTACCGGCCTGCCACGCAGCTCCTCTACTCGAAATTCCCCGCGCTACAGCGTACGTCAGCTACGTGCGGCGGGCTCGCGGCGAGCGCACAGCATGCTGGGAGCTGTAGTTCTCGTACGTTGGGCGTCAGCGGCTTCGGAAGACTGAAGGAGAAACATGAGAATTCCAGGGCGTAGCCTGGAGTGATGCAGGCCCTGCGCCCCTTGGATCCCAGGAGACAAGAAGATAATTGGAAGATTAAAGGCAGCTTTAATCTGTCTTGTAAAATGAGTAAACAAGAGATTCCCAAAAGTGATTGAATATTAGGAAAAAGACAGAAATCAGATGAAGTCTACGCCTTGATTAGAGAGTTCAAGGTCTTAGGCTCACGTCTACTCCTTCAGGTCCTATTCTCTGGTTGCTATAGAGATCTGTCCTACTCCTTGCAAATATCTGGAGTTACACTTCTGTCTCAACTCCTCTTTCTGTAAGCATCCACCAGAGCCACACAGAGCCTCTGTTTTTCAGAGATAACCACGGTTAATATTGGCACTTAGTTCTCAGATATTCTCCATGTATAAGGACCAGTGTTAGCAAACAGCGTTAATGAGTCAGTTTAACAGAAACCCACATTCTTTTTTTTATCAAATTACTCCAACTACTTGATAGACTCCTCATCCTCTTCTATCTCCTAGGATCATGGTGCCTTATCACCCTGACCTGTCTCCAGCAAGGTTCCTTTTAGATTGATTTAACCAGAACCCCATTGTCTAGATGTGAAACGCTGACCAACACACAGCCAGCCTGGCTACTCAGTTCAGCATTCATTGTCTGCCTTCTGTGGGCCTCCACTGAACCAGGTCTCAGGGGCCACAAGTTTGTCCAGATGCCACCCAAGACAGAACCCTGCAGGTATCACCGATACCCAGGTGGCCCACACAGTCACTGATTCAGCAGGTATGTTTTGAAGACTTACAATGGACCAGGCATGTGAGCTCTCCTGGGAAGGAGGGAGAAAGATGTGGTTGTTACAGACACTTTACAGACGAGAAGTCTGAGACACAACAGGTTAAAGCTTCATTCTGTTGGGTTTTTATCATAAAATGACCTCTGTAATCTGAGCCAATTAATTTCTCCTAGCCTACACTCACATATGAACTGTGCAACAATAACATGAACCACATTTAGGTGATAGCTCACTTATTACAGTTTACTTATTATAGCTAACACATATTAGACCACCTGTATTCCAAGCACTGCTGTGCTTTTTTTTTTAGTACATCTGTGCACTTCCTTGGTTATTCGTTATTTAAAGAAAAGAAAAATGGTAATTGGTGCAGGACATTTTGCAGGTAAGTAGAAGCAGGGCTTGAACTCAGGATGTTGGGCTTTTGAGCACACAAACTACCACAGGATAGTCTCATAAGAGTCTGGTCAAGACAGCTCTTTCCACGTACAGATACAGGAACCGAATGTCTGAACCGCAAAAGGATTCGGACACTGAATCTGCATATCTTAATTAGATTGGATAATTAGATTGACAAGTGGCTGAGGAGTGAAAGAGAATGTACGAGAAAAGAGGGAGGGACTGAGAGAGGGAGGGACTGAGGGTGAGAGGGAGGAGAAAAAAAGGGAGGAGGAGGAGGAGAGAGAAAAGAGGCAGCGGTAGGGAGACACTCACTGTGCAGAGCCTCAAGGCCACACCCCAATGCCATTCATCTCTGAACTCTTTCCACCAGCCACTCAGTGAGATGGAATGAATGGGCAAATCAGCAGAGAGCTCACATTCCCAGGTCGTCATTTCCTTCTGAGCTGAATGTTTTCCTTCTGTCCTCTTTAGCAGCACCCAAGGAGCAAGACACTACTCCAAGTCACCTCTGGGCCTAGGGAGGAAAGTTCCAGGGGACAAGCAGGTTCCAGAAAGACCATCATGGGCTCAGGGCAGTATGCTTCCCCTCTCCTCTCCCTTAAGCTTCAAGAGCTATTCTCCTGTAACAAGCTGCCTTCTGTCTCTGAGAAATGTGTCCTTCTTTTAGATCAATAAAGAGCTGGTGCTTCTTTATTCAGGAGCAAAAACAAAATGTCCTGTATTTAAAAAGCGGACTAGAGTCACCAGGATCTCCCACAACACTTAGCTCCAAGTGAAGAACCAGGCTACGATGGCTCCGTAAAAGACAGATGCCCAGTGAACTTGACTTGCAGATACACAGCAAATCATTTTGAAGTATCCTGTGTCACAAACATTACACATAACATACTTATATTTAAAAAAGATTCCCTGCTTATCTGAAATTAATTTTTTAACCTGGTCATTTGGTGCCTTTATTTGCCAAATCTGACAACCTTAATCAGGGCAATGTCCTCCCAGCCAAGTAGGGACCTGTCCTTGACTCACCCTGGATGTCTCATGGTCCTGAGCTCCTGCCAAAGCCTCTTTGCATCCTGCCTTCACCTCTCCCATCCATCCCCCCTCGTTCTAATTCACTTTCTTAAAAGAGTTTGGGGCTTTCCCCCTCCTTCCTTCCTATCTTCCTTATTTCCCCCTTCCTCCCTCCTTTCTTCCATTCTTGTTCTTACTGTTATTTGTCTGTCCATTTGCAGTACAAGGGGTCAAACCCAAGCCCCGGAGTGAACTAGGCAAGCATTCTACCACGGAGCTACATCCTCAGCTCCCCCACTCTCTCTGCTTCCCCTACTCTTTTTAAGGTTTAGCTATTTCATGTTTGAGTGTTTTGCCTATACATCTGTCTGTGCACCACATGCATGCCTAGTATTTTCAGAAGGAGAGAGGAGAGAGAGAGAGAGAGAGAGAGAGAGAGAGAGAGAGAGAGAGAGAATGAACTGCTGAATCTGTGGATCTAGCTATGGTTGTGAGTTACCTGTAAATTCTGGGATTCAACCATAGGTCCTCTGGAAAAGCAGGAAATGTTTTTAACCACTAAGCTATTATCCAAGGCCCCAGCCTTGTAGTTTTAAAGACAAGATCTGACTATGAAACCCGGTCTATCTGCTTTTACCTCCCAAGTGCTGATGCTCCAAGCTGTAGGGCCCCACAAGACCCAGCCCCTCCATTTTACTAAATGTTTCCAGCCCCCTGACACCTTTTCAAGGAGCTGAGCTACACAAGATGACAAATCAGATATGGTCCCTGATCTTGAGGAGCTGACACCCTGGGGTTTAGAGGGGGGGACAACATAGACAAGAGCGTATGAAAGAAAATGAATTTCCTAATGTGGAAAGTGAGTGTGAGTACATTGAAGACCGATGGTTCAATTGAGACTGCAGGACATCATGAATGGGATGTCCTGGGAAGTCTCCTATAGGTGGTAGCATGTGCATGGGAGTTCCTAGCCTTGGCAAAGTGTCCAGATTTGAACCTATCTATGCCTCAATTTTCTCATCTGTAAAATGAGCTGATCAGAGATAGCATTTGCATCAAAAGGACTTTTAAGACATATGCTAATCTATTGCAGTGATATTTGAAATTTAAGCGCAAAGCAACATAGACAACATATATGATGTTTAAATCAGCGTGATAGATATAACAAAGAGAACTGCTACCTGCATTTTTCTAAAATTTTGAAAATTTCCATCAAAATTCGGACATTTACTGGCTGCCATCTTACAAATGGCCACATGGGGGCAACAAAGTACCATACAAACCGAGCTGGTCAACCACTCCATTAATCCATAATTCATTCATATCTTGTTTTTTCATTTAAATGACTTCAACAAGTTCTGAGTATGTTCAGGATTTGGAATATATAGAAGAAAAAAATTAAATCAAGGTGTGGTTCACCCTTAACCCCAGCCATGAGGAGTCTAAGGCAGGCAGATCTCTGGAAGTTCAAGGCCAGCCACAGCTAAAGAGTGAAACCCTGTCTAGAAAGAATGAAAGAGTCTGGCAGTGGTGGTGCACACCTTTAATCCCAGCACTTGGGAGGCAGAGACAGGCGGATTTCTGAATTCGAGGTCAGCCTGGTCTGCAGCGTGAGTTCCAGGACAGCCAGGGCTACACAGAGAAACCCTGTCTCGAAAAACAAAAACAAACAAACAAAGAACTGACCTGTTAGAAAGAATGAAAGAAAGAGGGGAAAGGGAAGGGAGGAGGGATATGCCCCTGCCACACTCCTATTCTTCCTGAGGTCATGTGTGTAGTTTCTGACAAGCCCCTAAGGCAGGCACTATCACCATATCTACTTTAGAAATGGAGATGCTGAGAAGTTACAGACCTTTCCTCTTCTGAAGTGGCCCCTGAAGACTATAAGAACCAGAGATCAAGGAGGGCTGGAGAAAAATAGTCTTCTGGAGAGGATAGGCCCATTTCACTCAGGAATGCACAGCAGCTGTAGTTGGCTGCACAGGATTAAGCCAGTGAACACCCCAACATGGAATTGTGTGATGGTTTGTATGTTGGGATCAGGGAGTGGAACTATTAGGAGGTGTGACCTTGTTGGAGTAGAAGAATGTTGCTGTTTTTTTGTCTCTATCTGAAGAGTCTACCTGAGGCTAAGGTAAAGAGATTTCAGTCAATTGGTATTGACAAAGGAAGTCTCAGAAAAGCCTGGCATAGACTGTGTCCTCTGGTTTACTCTTATGAAGAGCAGTTTGATCAAGCACAGCAAACTTAGGCAGTGCAGAAAGCTGGTGAAGATATAATAGAACAAGGGGGCCATTTCCAGCCCCAGCAAGCAGCAGAACTCAGCAACTCTGGCCATGTGGCTATGGCTTTAGAGTCAAGAATAGAAGGGGCTACTGGCATAATTGATGCTGGTTAGCTGAAGCTAAGAAATTAGCAGTGAAATTAGCTAAGAAATTATCACTGAAGTGAAATCTTCTGGGAAGTGTTTTCTGAGAGCACAAAGAAGTTGTGTTCTAGGGATAGCCAAGGTGGTACCTCATGCTGCAGTTGGACTTGGTATTGTTTTAGAGTCACCCAGGTGGTACTGATTTTGAAGGCATGAAGGGGTTATGGAGAACAGCTGAGACTTGGCACTGTGAGAAACCAGGGAAAGCCGT